CAATCATATGGTCTACTATTCAGAAATGACACATTGAAGAGGAATTGTCACATTCATCATCAAAAAAGAACATTTCAAGAACTATCCCAAAGTATACATTGCTGTCAGTGATAGGATAATATCCATGCGCCTACAAGGAAGACCAGTTAATATGACTATGATTCAAATTTATGCACCAACCCCTCTTAGCTCAAGTAGATACAAGAGACCAAAGAGACAGCTTCTGTCCAGAGGTGAGATGGGAGGGCAGAGAGAGTTAGGAGCTGGTTGAATGGACATGGGGAATCAGGGGCAGAAAGGAGGAGTGTGCTGTCACAGAATGGGGTGAGCAATTAGGGTCACATAACAATGTATGTATAAAATTTTGTATGGGAGACTAACTTGAAATGTAAACTTCATTTAAACTACAACAATTTAGAAAAAAAATTTATGCACCAACAACTAAGGCCAAAGATGATGAAATTGAGGATCTTTACCAACTTCAGCCACCTAAAATTGACCAACTATGCAATCAAGAAGTATTGATAACTACTAGTGATTGGAACGTGAAAGTTGGAAAAGAAGAAGGATCAATAGTTGGAAAGTATGGCCTTGGTGATAGAAACGATGCCGGAGATGACAGGATAGAATTTTGCAAGACCAACGATTTCTTCATTGCAAATACTTTTTTTCAACAACAGAAACGGCGACTATACACTTGCACTTTGTTGGATGGAAAACACAGGAATCAGATCGACTACATCTGTGGAAAGTGACGATGGAAAAGCTCAATATCGTCAGTCAGAACAAGGCCAGGGGCCGACTGCGGAACAGACCAATTGCTTATATGCAAGCTCAAGTTGAAGCTGAAGAAAATTAAAACAAGTCCACAAGAGCCAAAGTACAACCTTGAGTATATCCTACCTAAATTTAGAGACCATTTCCAGAATAGATTTGAACACTAATGACCAAAAACCAGACAAGTTATGGGATGACATCAAGGACGTCATACATGAAGAAAGCAAGAGATTATTAAAAAGACAGGAAAGAAAGAAAAGACCAAAATGGATGTCAGAAGAGACCCTAAAACTTGCTCTTGAACATAGAGAAGCTAAAGCAAAAGGAAAAAATGATGAAGTACAAGAGCTGAACAGTAGATTTCAAAGGGCAGCTCAAGAAGACAAAGCAAAGAATTATAATGAAATGTGCAAAGACCTGGACTTAGAAAACTTAAAAGGAAGAAGATACTTGACATTTTTGAAGCTGAAAGAACTGAAGAACAAATTCAAGCCTCAAGTTGCAATCTTGAAGGATTCTATGGACAAAAGATTGAATGATGCAGGAAGCAACAAAAGATATAAGGAATACAGAGTCATTGTACCAAAAAGAATTGGTCAACGTTCAACCATTTCAGGAGGCAGCACATGATCAGGAACCGATGGTACTGAAGGAAGAGGTCCAAGCTGCATTGAAGGCATTGGTGAAAAACAAGGCTCCAGGAATTGATGGAATATCAAATGAGATGTTTCAACAAAAGGATGCAACTCTGGAAGTGCTCACTGGTCTATGCCAAGAAATTTGGAAGACAGCTACCTGGCCAACTGACTAGAAAAGATCCATATCTGTGCCCATTCCAAAGGAGAGTGATCCAACATAATGTGGAAATTATCCAACAATATCATTAATATCACATTCAAGTAAAATTCTGCTGAAGATCGTTTGAAAGTAGTTGCAGCAGTACATCGACAGGGAACTGCCAGAAATTCAAGCCAGGTTCAGAAGAGGATGTGGAACGAGGGATATCATTAGTGATGTCAGACAGACCTTGGCTAAAAGTAAAGAACACCAGAAAGATGTTTACTTGCGTTTTATTGACTATGCAAAGGCATTCGAGTATGTGGATCATAACAAATTATGGATAACATTGCAAAGAATGGGAATTCCAGAACACTTCATTGTGCTTGTATGAACCTACACATAGACCAAGAGGCACTTGTTCAAACAGAACAAGGGAATACTGCGTCGTTTAAAATCAGAAAGGCATGCTTCAGGGTTGTATCCTTTCAGTCTGCATGCTGAGCCAATGATCCAAGAAGCTGGACTATATGAAGAAGAACGAGGCATCAGGATTGGAGGAAGACTCATTAACAACCTGCGATATGCAGGTGACACACCCTCGCTTGCTGAAAATGAAAAGAACTTGAAGTAGTTACTGCTGAAGATCAAAGACCACAGCCTTCAGTAGGAATTACACCTCAACATAAAGAAAACAAAAATCCTCACAACTGGACCAATAAGCAACATCATAATAAATCGAGAAAATATTGAGAGTATCAAGCATTTCATTTTACCTGCATCCACGAACAACGTCCATGGAAGTAGCAGTCAAGAAATCACACAACACATCGCAGTGGGTAAATCTGCTGCAAAAGACCTCTTTAAAGTGTTAAAAAGCAATGCTGGCACTTTGAGAACTAAGGTGCACCTGGCCCAAGCCATGGTATTTTCAATCACCTCATACGCATGTGAAAGCTGGACAATGAATAAGGAAGACCAAAGAAGACTTGATGTCTCTGAATTATAATGTTGGTGAAGAATATTGAATATACCATGGACTGTCAGAAGAATCAACATCTCTTGGAAGAGGGACAGCCAGATGCTGCTTAGAAGCAAGGATGGTGAGATTTTGTCTCACATACTTTGGACATGTTGTCAGGAAGGACCAGTCCCTGGAGAAGGGTATCATGCTTGGTAAAGTAGAGGGTCAGTGAAAAGAGGAAGACCCACAATGAGATGGACTGACACAGCGGCTGCAACAATGGGCTCAAGCATAACAACGATTGTGAGGATGGCACAGGACCGGGCAGTGTTTCGTCCTGTTGTACACGGGGTTGCAATGAGTTGGAAGACTTGACGGCACCTAACAACAGCGACATTTAATTTTTTATTGTTGGTTTTTTTTGTTGTTGTTTTTTTTCATGTTTTCTGCAGTGAGCTTGTTGGAAATGCAGCATCTAAGGACCCCTTTGGAACTCATGAATCAGAATCTGCATTTTAACGAGATCCCTGGGTGGTTGAATTAAACATTCAAGTTTGAGAGTGCTGCTCTAAAAATAACAGGTAGTCATAGAAGTTCCCTAGACACATCCAGACACCTTGAGAGACCAAGTTACTGGGGCTGAGATCTGGGGACCATGGTCTGGGACACATCTAGGTCAACTGGCATAACACAGTTCATAAAGGAAGTGTTCTGCATCCTACTTTGGTGAGTAGCTGAGTCTTGGGTCTTAAAGCTTGCAGGCGGCCATCTAAGATACATCTATTGCTCTCATCACATTCAGAGCAAAGGAGAATGAAGAAAACCAAAGATACAAGGAAAATACCAGTCCAAAGGACTAAAGGACCACATGAACCACGGTTTTCACCAGCCTGAGCCCAGAACTAGACGGTGCCCGGCTACCACCACTGACAGCTCTGACAGGGATCACAATAGAGGGTCCCAGACAGAGTGGGAGAAAAATGTAGGACAAAATTAAAACTCACAAAAAAAGACCAGACTTACTGGTCCGACAGAGACTGGAGGCACTCCAAGACTATGGTCTGTGGACACCCTGCTAACTCAGAACTGAAGTCCACCTTTCAGCCAAAGATTAGATATGCCTATGAAACAATCACCTCATATGCCAGAGAAAGCTCAACAATGCATAAGGAAGACTGAAGAAGAACTGATGCCTTTGAAATGTGGTGTTGGTGAAGAATATTGAATATACCATGGACTGCCAGAAGAACCAACAAGTCTGTCTTGGAAGAAGTACAGCCAGAATGCTTCTTAGAAGCAGGGATGGTGAGACTTTGTCTCACATACTTTGGACACGTTGTCAGGAGGGACCAGTCCCTGGAGAAAGACATCATGCTTGGTAAAGTAGAGGGTCAGCGAAAAAGAGGAAGACCCTCAACGAGATGGACTGACACAGTGGCTGCAACAACGTGCTCAAGCATAACGACGATTATGAGGATGGCGCAGGGCTGGGCAGTGTTTGGCTCTGTTTTATGTAGGATTCCTGAGTCAGAACCAACAGGACAGCACCTCCCAACAACATAAAACAATAACACATATGAGGAACGCGCTTCTTAGTTCAATCAAGCATGGGAGACCAACTGGCCAATGCCTGCCTGAAAGCAAAGAGGACAAGGGACAGCGAACCCGAAAGAATGGACGCGAGGAACCCAGGGTGGAAAGGGACAGAGTGCTGACACATCGCAAGGATTGCAACCAACATCGCAAAACTCCTTTTGTATGCATTCTTGAATAAGAAACTAATTTGCTCTGTAAACTTTCACCTAAAGCACAGTAAAACTAAAAAAAAAAAAAAAAACAGCCAGCAAACGGTTCACATGCTTGGCTCCTAAAAGAAACGTTGGTGATTCAGGTCCACCCAGAGGCACCTAGGAAGAAAGGCCTGGCGATCTACTAGGTTTTTTTGGATGCAAGCGGTACCAGGTGCCGTGGAGTCAATTCTGATTCATGGCAATCCCACATGCATCACAGTAGAATTAAGCCACACTGGGTTTTTAATGGCTGATTTTTCAGAAGTAAATCACCAGGCCTTTCTTCCGAGATCTGTCTGGGTGGACTTGAACTCCCAACCTTTCTATTAGCAGCCAAGTGCTTAAGCAGTTGTACCACCTAGGAATGCCATTAAAAAAAAAAAACCAAACCCATTGTCACCCAGCCCATTCTAACTCATAGCAACCCTATAGGACAGAGTAGAGCTGCCGGATAGGGTTTCCGAGGAGTGGCTGGTGGAGTTGACCAGCCGATCTTCTTGCTAACAGCCAAGCTCTTCACCACTGTGCCACCAGGGCTCCTAGAAGCTCGTAGGTCCTTAAAAAGACACTCAGAGGAGGGCCCTGGGCAAGCTGCAGGGTGCATTCCCCCAGAATGGCTCTTCCGTCACATGCCCGGGAGCGGAAGGACGCCAGGCCCGGGCCATTCCTGCCAGCACGGTGGGGGCACTCACCAGCCAGGGCTGAGGGATCTCCGGCAGAGGCAGCTGCGGAGGGGCCGGCAGGCTGGAGGTGGGCTCTTGCTTCTGAGCATGATCTTTCCCTTCAAAACCTGTAAGGATGAAGCAAACCACAGACCAGGATGAGGATGGGGAGGACGGGGTGCTGTGAGCGTCTCCTCTGTCTGAGGCCTGTGCTGACACTCTGCAAACACTCATTTTCTGCTACCCCTTTCCAGCAGTCCTAGGTCGGTAAGGTCACTCTCCATTTTGCAGGTGACAAATCTAAGGCTAAAAAAAGGTTAAGGGGTGTCATGGATTGAATTGTGCCCCCTAAAAACATCAGTCACCTTGGTTGGGTCATGATTTCCAGTACTGTATGATTGTGTACCATTTTGTAATCTGATGTGATTTCCTTACGTGTTGTAAACTCTCTTTGACATAGTAAAATGGATTAGCGGCAGTTATACTGATGAGGTCTACAAGAGTAGATAGTGTCTTACGCCAATATCTTTTGAGACCTCATACCATCAAGAAAGCAGTGCCGGGAGTAGAGCGCCTCCTTTGGACCTGAGATTCCTGTGCTGAGACACTCCCAGACCAAGGGAAGACTGATGACAAAGACCTTCCTCCAGAGCTGACAGAGAGAAGGCCTTCCCCTGGAGCCGGCGTCCTGAATTTGGACTTGCAGGCTACTATACTGTGAGAGAATAAACTCTTTGTTAAAGCCATCCACTTGTGGCGTGTCTGTGAGAACAGCACTAGATGACTAAGACAAGGGGCTAATGTAATCAGCAGCAGCCACAGGGGTGACGCTGGCTCTGCACCCTCCCCAGGGCCTCACTGCTGCTCCAAGAGCAAGCGGGCTCAACATGCATGAGCCTTCAAAACATCACGCAGAGAGAAATCAGCCAGCTGGAAAAAAATAAATACTGTTTGACCTCACTTATTTGAAAGAAGCAAATATACATGGTTGTTGGGTGCTGTCGAGTCAATTCCGACTCAGAGCGACCTCATGTGACAGAGCAGAACTGCCCCAAAGGGTTTCCTGGGCTGGCATCTTTATGGGAGCAGATTGCCAGGTCTTTCCCTCCCTCAGAGCCACTGGGGTAGGTTCAAACAACCAACCTTTCATTAGTAGCCAAGCGCTTAACGGTTGCTCCACCAGAGCTCCTTAAGCACCGTGGTAGAAGCCGGGAGCAGAGGCAGTAAAGACCTAGCCCCTGACTGTCACTGCAGCAAGGAGACAAGAACAGCAGCAGAGAACTGAAAACAGTAACAAAAGAAAGGAAAAGAAGGAACGAAACTCTATCTCTAAAAAAATACAACAATCAAAAGTAAGGAACTGGTGGACAGGAGTAACGGAAAACTAAATGGCTGAAGAAAGACTCAGTGAACTGGAAATTACCACAGGATGCTTCCAGCACGAAGATGGTGGAGGAAGGGAGGAAGGAACCCAGGGCAGCACGTGGTCAGGCCCAGAGGGTTCAAAACTGCCGCGTGTGACGGAAGTCGTTCACGAAAGGACAAGTAACGGAAGACCTCGCTTACGTGAACTATCCAGAAAAGGCAAAAGCGCAGAGACCAAAGTTTGCTAGTGGTCACCGGGGCGGGAGGGCGGGGACCCAGAAGCCTTGTTTGGGAAGCGCTGAGCTTCTGTTTACGGGGATGGAAAAGTTGGCCGCGGGTATTGGCGATGGCTGCGCGAGAAGTTGATGTAACTGGTGTTACTGTGGGGCGCACGCGAAAGACGTTGACCTGGCCAGTGGGCGTCATCTGGTTTTATAACAATGAAAAAAAGACGGTGAAAGAATAACGAACAGGAGGATAAACATTGATGAAGCAGAACAAAAACACACAACAGATCAAAGCGAAGCGAAGGCCAGAAGCGGGTTCTTTAAAGGGCCAGTAAAACTGGTAGTCTTATGCCATGATACTCACAATGTCCAGGATACAATAAAAAAGATAAAGAGCAAATATTATCAACATCAACAATGGTGATGAGGACCACATTATAGACCATAAGGAAATGAAAACGATCATGGGGGGACATTCCGAACACCTGGGTGACAATAAACAAAACCAAACCCACCGCCGTCCAGTCGATTCCTACTCGTAGCGACCCTACAGGACCGAGTAGAACTGCCCCGTAGGGTTTCCAAAGCTATAGTCTTTACGGAAGCAGACTGCCACATCTTTCTCCCTAAGAGCGACGGTGGATTCGAACCACTGACCTGTTGGTTAGCAGCCAAGCTCTTAACCACTGGCCAGCAGGGCTCTCTTTGGTGACAAAATATATAAAAATTTAGTTTCAATGAATAAATCCTTAGAAAACACAATACACCAAAACTGACACAGAAGCAAAGGCCGAAGGGTTTCATATATATTTAAAAAAAAAAAATTTTCTAATTAAAATCTTTCCCACCAAAAAAAAAAAAAAAATAAAATCTGTGCTACGTTCAGATCAGGAGTCTGTCATGGCTGGAGAGAAGAATTTATATAAAAGGCTGAAAAGAAACACACACATCTCTACTGATAAAAGCAAGCACAGACGCCCACAGCCATCTTCACCGAACTCTTACAACGGATCAGGCACGACTTTTAAATATCTGACATTCCCTCCTTCAGTCCTGAAGACATTCCCACCAGCCAGATGGGCCTCCTTCGCCTTCCTCACGGATGAAGAGACTAAGGCAGAGGGGTGCAGTAACTTGTACATGGTCACGCATTTGGTAAGGGGCAGACGGCTTTGGGGTTCACACCATGACCACCGATTATCAGGAGCCTTGCAGGATGGCCTGGAGTCCCCAGGCGGTGCAAATGGTTAATACACTCGGCTGCTTACTAAAAGGTTGGTGGTTCAAATCCACCCAGATGTGCCTCAGAAGAAAGGCCTGGCAATCTTCTTCCATAACAATTACAGCAAAGACAATCCTGTGGAGCATAATTCTACACTGACATGCATCAGGTCGCCATGAGTCAGAATCGACTCAATGGCCTGGGTTTTTGTTTTGTTTTTTCCATCCGCCTATGCCCCACAGCAGAGCCCCCGTGGCACAACGGTTAAGTGCTCGGCTGCTAACAAAAAGCCGCTCTGTGGGAGAAAGACCTGGTGACCTGTTTCTGTAAAGATGACAGCCTGGGAAACCCTATGGGGCAGTTCTACTCTGTCACACGGGGTCACTGTGAGTCAAATCCACTCGAAGGCACACATCAACAAGAACAATACAGATTGAATAAGACCTGGTGATCTGCTCCTGTAAAGATTACTGCCTGGGAAACCCTATGGGGTAGTTAGTTCTGCTCTGTCACACGGGGTCACTATGAGTCAAATCCACTTGCTGGCACCCAACAACGACAACATCCCCCACAGAGCCTTTCAGCCGATACCGCCACACCCTCCAGCACCCCCATCTCCCACTAACAGGCCCGGACTCTCCCCTCAGCATTCTCCTAGCACCTGGCTGCCCTCTACAGCAGGGCTCAGCCTGCGTTTCTGCCGCAGCCGCCTTGCAGAGAGGGCTCCCCAGCAGGCGTGAGGCTGCTGTCTGCACGGGGGCCTGTCAGCGTGGTCTGCCCTGGGCTGGCGTCGGGGAACCTGGATTTGGGGACAGTCCCCCCACCCTAACTGGTAAGAGTGGTCCGCTGTGCCGACGCTGTGGTGAACGCCCGCTTTCCTCCTGGGAGTTAGATGTTGGACAGTACCAGGCTCCAGTCTAAACCCCGGGTGCTGTGTCTCCAGTGGGTTTCCCTGGGCAGAAACTGTCCACCTGTGGGGCTACATTTCCGTAGCTGGGGGAGAGCGGGCCCTGGTGACCCCACGGGAGGGAGAGCGTGTCTTTCCCCCTAGGATCCCCCTCAGGGGCCCCTCACTACATGCTTTAATCAGTCCCCTGAGTCAGTCCTTACAGTGATTCTCTGAATAAGGGGATGGTCTTGGGGACCCCGACACCCCCACTCTCCTATTTGCTCCTTAAAGCCTTTTCCCCTACCTAGAGATGAACGTGTGCCCGGCAGGAAGCACAGGCCTTCGCTGAATGCTTGACAAATAATTTAACAATGAACGGACAGATACCCGTCTTAGCCAGAATTAGCCCTAAAGATGGTGCAGAGCAAAAAGAGGCTGGGAGAACCAAGGGTTCGGACGGCACTCACCTTTGGAGGACTGGATCCTCAGCAGGATGTTGGTGATCACGGCCTTCTTCTCCCTGACGGTGGATGTCAGGTACTCGTGGTCCAGGAGTTCCAGAAAGAGACGGAGTTCAACTATTAACTCTTCCATTGCTAGGAACAAAGGAGAGAAAAAGGGTGTCATCAGCCCCACTGGTCTGGAAGCGTCCAGGTTCACTCACAATGTTTCATTTTCAGCTTAAGCAGCAAATGGAGCTTCGCCACACAGAAAACGAGGCAGTGTGGCTCAGCTGTAGGACCCTCGCCTTCCATGCGGGAGACCCGGGTTTCCCTCGCCTTCCATGCGGGAGACCCAGGTTTGAGCCCCGGCCAGCGCACCTCAAGCACAGCCACCAACCACCTGTCTGTGGAGGCGTGTGTGGCTGTGATGCTGAACAGCTGTCAGTGGAGCTTCCAGACTAAGAGAGACTAGGAAGAAAGGCCTGGCGATGTACTTCCGAAAACCAGCCGATAAAAACCCTATAGATCACAAAAGTTCAGTCCACGGCTGATCACAGGGACGATGCAGGACCGGGTAGCGTTTTGCTCTCTTGTGTGTGGGGTCGCTGTAAGTAGGGGGCCAAATGACGGCAGCTAACAGCAAGAAGAAACTGAAAAACAAATTTGCCGACACCAGGTCAACTAGAAGATTCACGCAGCATCTAGACAAAAGCACGCTCCTTACAAGAAAATCCAACACCTCTACAACAAAAAGACAAATAATCCTATTAAAAA